GAGTATCGTTGTTCGTAATTTTTTTTTTTTTTATAAATAAATAATAAATAACGAAGCAAATATACAATATTTCAAACGAGTATCGTTGTTAATTTTTTTTTTTTAATAATATAATAGTTTTCTATCTGTAAAAAATAATTGTACAAATGGTACTTAAATTGATCAACGAATCTTTGTAATTTCTTTTTTCTAAATAAATAATTAATAACACGGTCAATTTAATATATTTCACGTATTAAAATATAATCAATATTTTCCGAATATTTTGAAATAAAATAATAATAATAATAATAACAAGAACAAAAATTGTCTAAATAATATAATAATTAATCTGTCGAATATAAATTGATAGAGTGTGTTGATAGAAATTGATTTAAAAAAAACTATAATTGTTTCAATCGATATCGTTTAAATATGCTAATACATGAACATAACATGCACGCACAGATATAAATCGAGAACGACCAGTATTAAAAGTATCCTTGTTCTTTTTACAATATTTTTTTTTTCTCTCTATAATTTTCTTTGTTTTTATTTTATTTTACTTTTTTTTTATTTTTTTTTCTTTAACTTTTTCCTTCTAAGTAATAGCAATAAATCTTAGAAATGTATAAACTCGTCTAGTAACAACGATCATCTCGACGAATTATTCATGAGAAACATGTCTGAACGTAATTGCCGGTGTTATGTTTATCAAAATATATATTTATATACGTTCTTTTTTTTTTTTTACTTTTTTTTTTATTGTATCTCTTTTACATTATAATTTTATACAATTCTTCGATAACCAAGACACGTGGATATCAGGTAAAATTAAAATTAAAATTAAAAGAAAAAAAAAAAAAACAAGAAAACCATTAAGAGAATAAAAAAAAAAACCTATATGTTGTTTCTTGGTATAGTCTAGTAATAGGAATCTTTTTGAAAAATAAAATTAATCAGCAGTGATAAGAGTACGCATGCGCTTTACTTATTTGTCGTCAGAATTTTAATCTTCGCTAAGAAAGAAAAATACGAGATAGAAATATTACGTTAGACTCAAATTCTAAACGTAAAGAAGCTTAGTTTTTCTACCAACTCAAGAAAGATAGAAATAAATAAAAGAAGAAGAAGAAGAAGAAGAAAAAAAGAGGTTAATTGTAAATAGTTATGCCGATGAGGATAAGGTACAACAAGTTACACAAGAGTTAATCGTTAACTCGGTCTATGTAACCCAATTAGTTCTAGTGTCTCTTGAGAAAAATTATATAATATGAATTTTATCATTTTTGTATTAATCTAATCTAAATTTATCATAATAATACATGGAAAATTATGTATTACGGTTATTATTGAAAGCAAGGATCATAGAAAAATTTATCAAAACTACGAGTATCCATTTGTACATACGAATATTACAAATTCCAACATAATTTACCATATACAAAACAACAAAAACTTCATAAATTCTACCATAAATAATACATTCATATATATATAATATTACTACTAATAAAAATTATACAAAGTACATAAACTTTTAAACTTTCATCGTATCCACACAAATAACAATATTTTAATCCTAAAATTAATTAAAAAAAAATATATATATATATATATATAATATTAATAAAATATATATAAATTGAAATAACAAAAATTGCGTAAAGAAAAAATTCCAAATGAAAAAAGAAAAATATAAATGAACGGTTAATTACAGATGATAGGAGGATA